CTGAACTTTTACCTTAATATACTTTTCTACTGCACTCTTCATATCCGATAACTTCCTAAATGCCCAAGAATACATCAACCTCAAGTCCCTTGGGATAAAGGATGCTAACGGTTCACAACTCTAAGTGAAGGCATCCTTCTTCTTCTCAGTTCTAAAAGGCTGACTCTCACCCTAAGAATATGACACCTTGTTCTGGGCCTCCCAACCACAGGAAACAGCCTCTTGGAAGATATTTTATCAAACACCCTGAATTTTATGCCTTTCACCTACATCACCTCTATCTTCTAAATTCCAGAGGATATAGGCTTATTCTAATAAAACATTAACAACTTGAATAAAGTGAAGTTAAGAGGCACATTGCTCAATGGAAGGATTTGATGGCGACAGTGCTCAGTAGTAATATCATTGAATTCGTAATCCAAATGCCCACACTAGTGGTCCGTGGTCTTATGCTCAAATCTTATCACACCAGCTGTTGGAATTTAAATGTAATCAATAAAATCCGGAATTGAAAGTACAACACAGAAATTTTTTTTAAAATTTATTCGGATGAGGGTGTTGCTGGTTAGACAGCATTTATTGCCCATTCCTAATTGCCCAGAGGGCAGTTAAGAGTCGACCACATTGCTGTGGGTCTGGAGTCACATATAGGCCAGACCAGGTAAGGATGGCAGTTTCCTTCCCTAAAAGGACATTAGTGAACCAAAAGGGGTTTTCTGACAATCAACAATGGATTTGTAGTCATCGTTAGATTGTTAATTCTAGATATTTATTGAATTCAAATTCCACCATCTGCCGTGGTGGGATTCAAACCTGGGTCCCCAGAACATTATCTTGGTCTCTGGATTAACAGTCCAGCGATAATACCGCTAGGCCATCGCCTTCCCCCGAGGTGAGCATGGAACTATTGTCAATTGTTGGAAAAATCCACTGGGTTCACTAATGTTCATTAGGAGAGTAAATCTCCCATCCTTAACTTATCTAATTTACATGCAAGTCCAGATCCACAATAACTTAACACCCTTTAAAATAGCCTTTCAATCCACTTAGTTCAGGAGCAATTAGGGATGAGCAACACAGGCTGGTTTTTCCTGAGGGATCCCTATAACAAAATAACAAACCAAGTATTTTCATTTACTCAGAGAGGTGGATCGTAATTTCCTTATTTACTAAAAGTATACATATGAATAAAATCCAAGTTTCATAAATAAATTGATCTGTGCATATCACATAGGAAGTACGCAACACATCAGCTACTGTATCAAACAGGCTTTATAATGAGACAAGAAATGTATTCAATATTGAACTAATCTATGCTTTTTCGTTTTAACTAACAGTGCTGACTTTTAGTAAAAGGTTCTGCATGAATAAGCATTTAAATTCAACATTTTTAGTTCAAACCTCTTACAAAAGTGTATAACATCATTTATTTTAAGCATATTCAAGTAAATCCAACTAGTTTAGACTAGATTACACTTAAACAGTAAGTAAACAAAGCTTTTGAAATTATCTCAAAAAGTTCATAAAGTATCTGGTCCACTCTGACTTTAAGCAAAATGTTTCTGGTTATTTTAAAGACTCCTATAAACAACTTCCATGTGTTTTCATCCTCAGAATCTTCTTTTGATGTCCAGGTATGAAGGTAGTGCTAGATTAATGCAGTACACATTCTGGAATATTCCGCGATTGGTCAATATCAGAAAAAAGTCTGGATTTATTTTTAACTGGCTCAATTTGTAAGTTCCTAGCAAGTGCACATTAAATACTTAAATGTTATGACAGTTTCTGCCTCTACCACTGGTAGCGTGTTCCAGATTTTCACCACGTTCCGGTCGAAAAACATTTGCTCACATCTCCTGGTCGTTAATCCTTCCACTAAGTGGAAGTTCCTTCTGCCTACCCTATCTCAACCATGTCCCCTTCAGTCTCCTCTGCTCCAAGGAAAACAACCCCAGTATATCCAAGCTCTCTCCAGCACAGTCTTGAACAGTTCTGCTTTTGCTTTACTTATGAACATCAAATTTGAACCATTTAGTTGCAAATGTAACTGGAGACACTGCTCAGAAACAGGTCATTTGGTTAAAGTGGTCTCTGCTGGTCTTTTATATCAAAGAGCCCCTTCTTATTCCTAATTTCATCAGCATTTGTCACTCGTGCTTATCCACCTTTCCCTTAAATTTGTGTTAATTGCCTCAATAATACTATACAGGAGCACATATAGTTTTTCAATGCTTTGCTGAAGTAGTTTTTCCTGAACTCCCTGTTGGATTTATATTTTTGATGTCTACTTTATTATTTCACTACAATTAGAAACATTTTCTCTGCACTTACTCTATCAAAGACTTACATTATCCTAAAGACACTCCTCAGGATTCTCTTATCTAGGAAGAATGAGTCCCACCTTGTTCAATCTCTCTTGTTAAGTACATTCTCTGTTCTGGCACATTCAATAACATAAAATTTTGGATGAAGTGAGCTGCCAGCCATTCCAGCTGGTAGAACAGGAAATCCAATATGAAAATGCCTGTGATAAGTTGGTGTTCCAGAACTTTAACACTACATTACTGAAACTTGTGAAAGCTTGTCATATGACAATGATGCACACAACTGCTGAGAATGGGGGTCGGGGTGGGGTGGTGTAAATCTGACAAATCCAACGATAAGGTCTTTTGTGTTCACTGATAGAAGACAGTGATGCTTTCAGCTCACAGGCTCTGGATAATTCCCTCTCTTCTGCACTGGCATTTGCAGCTTTTAAAACTCCAGTTCAACTACAGGGCTGTTGTCAGGCATAATTTCCTTCGCTCAGTCTCAAATTATTTCCCTAATTGCTTCAGTAATAAATACAGTATTGCACAGCTCAGAATGTAGTACTTGATTTCAACTTTTCTGGTAGTTTGGTTTCAATTTTAGCCCCCAAAATGAAAAATGTGATCTTGTACAGGTCCCTTCTATTTCTGACATGCAACCTGCATCTTCTACAGTGAAGGAAGGGTAAAATACTTTGAACAAAGTATCTGCCATTTCCTCATTACCCGATAACTTCTCCTGTCTTATCTTCTCAGCATCCAATATTTAGTCACTCTTCTTTTTTTACATGCACCTGTAAAAGCTCTTGCAATCTGTCTTGCATCTCAGGTTAGTTTATTCCTTTCTTTTACCCCCTTTTATCAAATCTTTGGTGCCCTACACTCGTTTCTAAAACACCCAAGTCCTCAAACTTATTACTATTCTTTGCAATACTAAGTCGCGTCTTTTAATCCAATACTTTCCTTAATTTTCTTAGAAAACAAGGGATGCATTATTCTTGTTAAATTATTATTTTTATTGGAATGCATTATGATGAACATTTTGAATTGTTTCCTTCAATATTTCCTACTGATTATTTACTATCATAATACCTCATAGTTCTTCCCTCATACCTACATAAATTGTTTTAAAATTGCCTGCAATTAGACCATGTAACTTTCAAACTTAACACTAAATTTAACTGCATTAGGATTATGAAGCAACTTTTATTAGGGCAATACTAATTAATTCAATCTCATTGCACACTGTTCTAAAAACAGCTTTAAAACAATCCAAATAACTGAATTGGTAACAAAAACATTCTACAAATGCATTTCTATACAACATTTGCCAATTTGATTGGTGCAACTATTTCTGAAGATTAAAACACCCCACACCTTTTAGGTATTTTCTAATCAACCTGTTCAGCGATGCTTTTACACTCCTCCAGGACTTAAACCTGGGACATCAGGCCCACTGCACCACAACAGCCCTCCAACTCCTTTCATTATGCCTTTGTTGCAAACCCTAATCATGTATTGTTTAATGCTTGTCCCAACGATATAACTACTGTTAGGAACCTACCAGCAACTCGCACTGGTATATTCTAACCCCTGCTATTGTTAATCGCTCCCATATTGATTTTCTGAGCCAAAATTCTTTCTCACTATCATCCTATTTAGCAGGGTTATCCATATCCTTCTATATTCTGGGCTTCCCTGGAATGTTGTGTACCCTTGAATACTTGTCAATCTTGACCATCTTGCAAGCATGTGTCTCCTTAACTGTCACTAGTTTTAAACTATTTGTCTCTATTCGTACCACTAGTTCCTCTAGCCTATTCTGAATGTCCTGTGCATTTAGATAAAATTACTTCATTTTTTAAATTACTATTTGCTGCATGTATGTTACTCTCTGATACACTATTGTTCTTAAGTTCCGAGCCTTTCAATGTTTTATTAGATTTTCATAATTGAATCAAAATTAAAATATCCTCAATCCGTAGTTGTCCTATAGATTATAGAAATAAGATATCTTTACATTTAATGTGACCACATTGAAGGAACAATGAAATTAAATGTCTTTGTTCTTAACTATTCGGTTAATCACATGCATTTTTCTTTCTGACTCAACACTCAATACAAGTCAGCATTTGTTCAATGTGGTAATACTTACTTTTTGCTATTAACCTGAAGTACTGAAGTAGCAAAACAAATAGGTATTATTAATTCCTGAGGATATGGTTAGGGAGCTGAATGCTACTTTTTAAATAAAGGAAATTTCTTGGACCTGTGATGCTTCAGTTTAATTTTCAGCAATATAATAACGAATAGAGGCCTAAGGCTGATTTCCCAGAAATGCATTTATCTGGATAAATAAAAGTGGCACTGGGGCCTCTCTCTTAGTCCATGTGTTCAATTTACAGATAGTACTTGGTTGCATAACAATGTTCCACTGCAGTAGTTATCAAAAAACTACTGAATAACGCTTACGCCCTGCCCCTCATTTTTAAGCTCATAAGGGTGCCAGGGTATTTACCTACAGCAACAATATTACACAAATTCAGTTTGATCTTGACAAATTGGCCAGTCTATTATACTTGGGTGTCTCTGTAGTACTGTTTCTAGTGTTAACTGAGGATAAATAAAGATAAAATCATCCAGATTTAATAAAATGAAAAATATATTATTTTTAATCGCAAACCTGCTTACAGGAGAAACATCTCCAACCTCAAGCTTACCCAGATGCCTTTCTCCTCTTCTTTTCCATCATTTTCATCACCCTAATGAAAAGCAAAATTGCACTAAGAAACAAACTTAATTTATATTTCAACACAGATTAGAAAGAGTACTCATGGCAATTTTATGACAAAGATGTGACAGAATTTTCCAGGCAAATAATAAGAGATAAATAATTTTTTGAACAATGCAGATATATTAACATATTATACAATATACAATAATATTCAATTAAACATGACCCATTTCTCCAATTTTACCTAAAAAGTATTTTAATTTATACATTATTGCAATTTGCAGTGTAAACAAGTTAGGCTCAAAACTCTAATATGGTAATACTGATTTAAAGTATATTCAGTTATATTTTCTATTCATTTCATGTTTAAATTAAATTTTCAACTTATTGAAATTGATCAACAGAAGATCCATTGCGAGCTGGAAGGCACACCACAATCGCCGATTCTTAGTGTGACTGTCATCTTTCACTAAACACACAACAGATCCAACCACAGATTGAAGTAATACTTGCTATCAAACAAGAAACTGAAAGACAAATAAAACTATCCAAATTCTATAGGATATTTTCAGAAAGGAGTATATTAAAGGTGCTTAAAATTAAGGAAGGTTAAGACACAGTTTTCTATCAGTTTGGACACAATACTAAATGTGGAGATTCTGAACGGAGGCCAGGAGAAAGTGCCTTATCTAAAAGAAAAAACAGAGAATTCTGGAGAAATTCTACAGGTCTGGCAAGATCTGTGGAAAGAGAAACAGAGTTAAGTATTCAAGTCTGATATGACCTGCTGAGTTTCTCCAGCATTTTATTTCAGATCTTCAACATTCACAGTATTTTGCTTTCATGTGACAGCTTCATACAAAGCCAGCATTTGTATGGAAAGAAAGCTGAAGTGTTGAAGGTTGGTGGATAGATGAATGAAGGAAGAGAGATTGAAGGGAATGTGGGAACAAGGTGAGTTAACGTGATCAGAATTAACAGGAAGGTTAAGATTGGTACATAGTACTGCTAATTTCAATTTTTAAATGTGTAGTTGCACCTTAACAGCAATGTTTACAGTGTCAGGTTCAACTCAAGATCCAAAATAGTGTTCTCGAGTATTTAAATTTCACATCAACAGTTTTAATTTAAAGACGTTCAGAAAATAAGTGCTCAGCAATCAATCTAAGTTTGCATTTATGTTTTTTAAGGCTCAATTGGGAGATTGAGCTTATGGTGAGAAAAGTTATTTATAGCAGTAGTAGAGATTTTCACCATTTTCTATCTATTTGCATTATTTGATCAGTACACCTAATTTAATATAATGTGTGTTCAGTGGGAATGAGATTTAGATTTGAAAAATATATTTCAGTTAGAGTTGTTATAACCAACAGATATCCACACTCGATGTCGTAGGTGATATGAACCCTTGTAAAGAACAGTACAGCACCTGTGAGTATATCAGTTCTCCTTCACATTTTATATTTTATATTATTTTATATTAATTGTTTTATATAATAAAGCTATTTCTAATTTTCCTTCATCATTAGCACATGAAATGCAAAGTTCATCTTCTTATATTTCAATCGAATGAACAAGGAGGGTTGAAACAATTTGTTTAATCTTGCATTCCTTTTCCACTTTAAAAAATACTGATGATCAGTAAAATTAGCATCTCTCCCAAATGTACCAAAACTTAATTAAATTGTAAACTGTCACACCTAGAAGCAGCATCCATCAAAAGGCATAGACAATCAGATTGCAGAAGTATCACCAAGTTTTTGAGAGTTTTTTTTTATTTTTCAGTAAATGTCTCAAACCGATTTCTATAATACTGCTCAGTTTTGAATAGAAAAGTCTCAGGATAAATGATAACTCCTCTTTCACGAGTCTCATTTCAGACATCACATTTTAACCAATTGAAGATGCTGATTCCTCAGAGCAAGCATCGTTCTGACATAATAGGGCATCGGTAAGAAATACTAACATCTTGAGTCCAGTATGATACTCCAGTAGACCGTCTCTTCTCCCTCGGCCTTCGTCTTTCTCTTATTGACAGTTGCCTATCATTAACATCTTTGTCACCTTCAACTGCTTTTCCAGAGGCACCTTTTTGGAACAAATAATCACAAAACTGAGCTATTTAAAAATATCTCCTTTCATTATTAACCATTTCTAATAATACAGACACCACCATGAGGAAAGGGAGTGATTTGCGTGAGTATAAGAAATGTCGAAGTGGTGCAAGAGAAAATTAGGGCAAAAAGAAATGGGAGGAAGGAGAGATAGAAGGGGAAGCAAAGAAGCATGATAAAAAGAGGAGACAAGTAGGGACAGGGTCAGGGGACTGAAAAGGGTTGATGATGCAAGGAAAGTTTGTCTTATTAGGGAATTGGTTGAACAAAAGAAAACTTTACATTTTCACCAATTATGATTTATCTCCAATGTTTTGATTTTGGCTCCTCATTCTGAATTTCATGTCTTCAACTGCTGTTTTAGAGGAATGAAAAAGTCGTCTTTTTGCCTTTTAGCTGTTTTGTGCACTGGAAGAAGTTGCAGTTTACCAATTACTTGGTGTCTTATGTTCTTTTGTGGGATTTTACTGAGACCTCATGGTTCTTTAAATAATTTTTCTTGAATATTGGATTTTGAGTTTATAGGACTGGCTTTACACAGGCTGCATTTATTGAAAGTATCTTACCTAGTCTCTTTGATATGCCAATTGCTTTTATGATAATATCTAATTTGACTTATTCTGCTTTTCTTCACTTCTTAAGAATGCTACTTAAAAAACAACTGGATGTTACAAAGATAGTAGGAACTGCAGATGCTGGAGAATCTGAGACAACAAGGTGCAGGGCTGGATGAACACAGCAGGCCAAGCAGTATCATAGGAGCAGAAAGGCTGACGTTTCGGGCCTAGACCCTTCATGAGAAAAGGGGGAGGGGAAGGGGGTTCTGAAATAAATAGGGAGAGAGTGGGAGGCGGACAGAAGATGGACAGAGGGGAGGATAGATGGAGAGGAAACAAACAGGTCGAAGAGGCGGGGATGGAGCCAGTAAAGGTGAGTGTAGGTGGGGAGTTAGGGAGGGGATAGGTCAGTCCAGGGAGGACGGACAGGTCAAGGGGGCGGGATGAGGTTAGTCGGTAGGAGTTGGGGGTGCGGCTTGAGGTGGGGGGAGGGGATAGGTGGGAGGAAGAACAGGTTAGGCAGGAGGGGACGAGCTGGACTGGTTTTGGGATGCGGTAGGGGGAGGGGAGATTTTGAAACTTGTGAAATCCACATTGATATCATTGGGCTGCAGGGTTCCCAAGCGGAATATGAGTTGCTGTTCCTGCAACCTTCGGGTGGCATCGTTGTGGCACTGCAGGAGGACCAGGATGGACATGTTGTCTGAGGAATGGGAGGGGGAGTTGAAATGGTTCGCGACTGGGAGGTGCAGTTTTTATTGCGAACCAAGCGTAGGTGTTCTGCAAAGTGGTCCCCGAGTCTCCGCTTGGTTTCCCCGATGTAGAGGAAGCCACACTGGGTACAGCGGATGCAGTATACCACATTGGCAGATGTGCAGGTGAACATCTGCTTGATGTGGAAAGTCTTCTTGGGGCCTGGGATGGGGGTGAGGGAGGAGGTATGGGGGCAGGTGTAGCACTTCCTGCGGTTGCAGGGAAAAGTGCCGGGTGTGGTGGGGCTGGAGGGGAGTGTGGAGCGGACAAGGGAGTCACGGAGAGAGTGGTCCCTCCGGAAAGCAGATAAGGGTGGGGAGGGAAAGATGTCTTTGGTGGTGGGGTCGGATTGCAGATGGCGGAAGTGTCGGAGGATGATGCGTTGGATCCAGAGGTTGGTGGGGTGGTACGTGAGGACGAGCGGGATTCTTTTTTGGTTCTTATTGCGTGGACGGGGTGTGAGCGATGAGTTGCGGGAGATGTGGGAGACACGGTTGAGGGCGTTCTCAACCACTGAGGGGGGGGGGAAGTTACGGTCCTTGAAAAACGAGGACCACTGAGATGTACGGGAGTGGAATGCCTCATCCTGGGAGCAGATGCGGTGGAGGCGAAGGAATTGGGAATAGGGGATAGCATTTTTGCAGGAAAGTGGGTGGGAGGAGGAGTATTCTAGGTAGCTGTGGGAGTCGGTGGGCTTGAAATGAATATCGGTTTCTAGGTGGTTGCCCGATATGGAGACAGAGAGGTCCAGGAAGGGGAGAGAGGTATTAGAGATGGTCCAGGTAAACTTAAGGTTGGGGTGGAAAGTGTTACAAATTTTTCTTTACATGTTATTAACCCAACAAAGCAGAACTTCCTTTGGATGGCTAAGAACACTCTAGCAGCATTTGGGTATTAAAAATGCAGAGTGTTTACATTGTAAAATGGACATTGCTTATAACTTCAAGCAATTTATTAAGCTAAGATAAGAACAAAGAAAATATCAAAAATAATCAGTTTATCAAAAATAGCTGAATTCAGTACATCCATTGTTTCATCACTGGTTATATTTTAAAAATTTTAATCTTCAACTACAGTACGCTTTTTCCTAGAATATTTCTAATGCATATTACAAACTCATTGGGCACTTTTGTTCCCCTGCAATTTAGCATGGAAGTCACAAAACATCCATAGCAATGCCATTATTCGTTGTAAACATATCTTATTTTAATCACTTCCTCAGTGATGAGTCACGTCTTCATTACCAATGCCCCAAGGATTATAATTTTGTCTATCCTCTTTCTACCTCTTTTATCCACCTTTAAGAAAATAATTTTTACCAAGTTTTGGTCACACGGCCATACACCACCTTTTGGGGCACAATGCCACATTTTATGATGTTTAAAGCAGAAAATATAACTTCTTACTGAACGAAACAAATATAATCGATTACTGAGCAAATTTAAAGATTACCATTGTTCTCCATTTCCTTGGTAAAAATCTTTGAGTGTGAGCTGTAAGATGTTTGATCTATAACTCCATTCACTCTGTTTGGTTGGATTCCTGAATACTGGAAGCTGCCTGATGTGGAAGGCGATGCGAGAGGTCCAAGTGGGCTATCTGGCTGTGACGTATATCGTGATTGCCAATCCCCAGACTGGTTACAAAGGAACAACAATGCTAAAAATTATGAACGCTTCTAAGGGAAAAAAGAACACATTTCCTTGGATATATATAAATGCAATTTTATCTAAGGGTAGTCTTCACAGCCTCACCACCGAATACAAACAGATCCATTTGAATAAAACTGGGTTAGAGCTTTCACTTTGGATGTAAACACCAACCTTGGCACCAAATTTTGCTTAAAATTGCTCAAATTTCAGGACTTTTTTTGAACCACTGCTCAAACATATTTCTATATTGCTGAATGTAAAATTGACAAATAGGGTACGACCCAAGGGAAGATTAGTTTTTGTAAACTATGCAGATTTGAAGTTGGGATTTTTTTTCTAAGAAATGATACATCCAGTAACACTGAAATTGGGAATATTAATTTTTAGAAGACTGTGCTGATAATTTTGGAATGCCATGTCCATTATTTTGGAATGTTGTGCACTGTCTCAGATGCAGGGCTCAATTTGTCACACTGTCAAAATGGGCACAGAATTTTCAGAAGTGACAGTTGGGTGTGGATTGTCCTAAAACCTGCTTATGAAGTGGAAGCTCTTAGTAAAATCCTTCCAGTTTTCTAACTGCAGAGAATCTACCATGCAGGGAAAAGTCTCAAGAACTGAAAGTCAACAAATCCTCCAGACCTGATGTGTAGCATCCCAGGATACTAAAACAAAGTAGTTACAGAGATAGTGGATGCACTGGTAGTAATCTTGCAAGAATCCTTAAGATTGAAGAAAAGTTCCAAACAATTAGAAAACCGTCAATATGAGACTGTTGTTCAAAAAGGGAAGGAGACCAAAAAAGAAAGGAAGCAATAGGGGTTCTGTGCATGCAAGCTATTAAAAATGACACGGTGGGTTCAGCAAGTGTTAATCAAGTAACATGAGATTCCTAAATAGAGACAGAATACAAAAAGCAAGGACATTATGGCAAAACTTTGTAAAACCCTGATGCAATTTCAATTGGAGTTCAATTCTGGAACCATAATTTAGGAAGGTCATGACGGCTTCAGGAAGTACAGAAAAGATGTGCAAGAATGATTCCAGAGATGAGAGACTCGAGTTATATAGACAGTTTGACAGCCTGGAACTGTCCTCCTTAGAAAAGACTGAGGGGAGGTTTATTTAAGGTTTAGAATAATTGGAGATAGTCAAACGAAGTATATAGGGAGAAACTATTCATTCTGGCAGATAGGATGAGAACCAGATGATAAAGATTTCAAGTGAATAGCAAAAGAACCAAAAGCAACATGGGGAAAAATTTTAATTGAGTGAATGGTTAGGATCCGGAATGCATGACAGAGTGAGATATAGTCAGATTCAATTGTGGATTTCAAAAAGAGAATCGGATTCTCAGTTGAAGACAATAACATTGCAAGGCAATTGGAAAAGGAAAGGGGAGTGAACTAGCTGAGTTGCTCTTGTCGTGAACCAGAAAATGGGAAAAAATATGAGAACAGTCCAAGCTCTAACAGTTGAACACAAATCTAAAGAAACATTTAAGCCACTGTCATATTTGTATGTGCAAGATTTATCTATCTGCAAAACTGGAAGAAAACAAACAAAGATTGAATAAAGAGAAAGCATGGACACAATAGGGAAAGGTGATCGCAATTGGATGCAAAAGTAGCTTGACAGTAGGAGACAGAGGGTGATGGTGACGGTTGTTTTTCCAGACTGGGGGACTGCGACGAGCAGTATTCCGCAGGCATCAGTGCTGGGTCAACTGGTTTGTCATTTATATACATGATTTTTGAGAATTTAAGAGGAATAGTTAGCAAGTTTGCAGATGACACCAAAATTGGTGGTATTGTCAACAGTGAAGAAAGTTATCTAAGATTATAAAGGGATCTTGATAAATTGGGGCAATGGGCTGAGGAGTGGCAGATGGAGTTTAATTAGGATAAATGCATGACATTACATTTTGGTAAAGTGAACAAGGGTTAATGGTAGGGTCCTGAGTAGTATTGTTGAACAGAAAGACCTAGGGGTTTAGGTACATAGTTCTTTGAAAGTTGCATCACAAATAGTCAGAGTGGTTAAGGTGGTGTTTAGTATGCTTGCCTTTATTGCTCAGTATTGAGCATCGAGTATAGGAGTTGGAATGTCATGTTGAGGTTGTACAGGATGTGGGTGAGACCACTTCTGGAGTACTGTATACAGTTCTGGTCACCCTGTTATAGGAAGGATATTATTAAATTGGAAAGGATGCAGAAAAGACTTACCAAGATGTTGTCAGGACTGGATGGCATGAGTTATAAGCAGAGGCTGGATAGGCAAGGACTTCTTTCACAGGAATGTAGGGGTTGAGATTTATAACAAACAGTCTTGGAGTCGTGAGGGTATACAGCATGGAGATGGGCCCTTCGGCCCAACTCGTCCATGCTGATCAGGTTTCCCAAACTGGTCCCATTTGCCTGCATTTAAACCTCTAAACCTTTCCAACCCATACACTTACCCAAATATCTTTTAAATGTTAATTTGCCCACCTCTATCATTTCCTCTGGCGGCTCGTTACATGGATACACCATCTCTGCGTGAATAAATTGCCTCTCAGGTCCCCCTTGAATCTTTCCGCTCTCACCTTAAACCTACGCCCTCTAGTTTTAGATTCCACTACCATCAGGAAAAGACCTTGGCTATTCGCCTTATCGATGACTCTCGTAATTATAAAAACCTCTATAAAGTCCCCACTCAGCCTCTGAAGCAATAGGGAAGGAAGTCCCACTTTATCCAGCCTCTCTTTGTAGCTTGAAGCCTCCAGTCTCTGCAACATTCTTGCACCCTTTCCAGGGTGATAACATCCTTCCTGCAGCAGAGTGGCCAGAATTGTACTCGTTGGTCTAAGGGTATGATTCTCGCTTGGGGTACAGTACAGCGGTGACATGTGAAAGGTCCCGGGTTCAATTCCCAGACGAGCCTAGGCTTCTTAGGGCGGCACGGTGGCTCAGTGGTTAGCACTGCTGCCTCACAGTGCCAGGGACCCGGGTTCGATTCCACCCTTGGGTGACTGTGCAAACTCCACACAGGCATTCTCCCCATGTCTGCATGGGTTTTCTCTGGGTGCTCCAGTTTCCTCCCACAGTCCAAAGATGTGCACGCTAGGTGGATTCGTCATGCTAAATTGCCCCTAGTGTTCAGGGATGTGTAGATTAGGTGGGTTCTAGGGAGATGGGTCTGGGTGGGATGCTCTGAGTGTTGGTGTGGACTTCTTGGACCAAACAGCCTGTTTCCACATTGTAGGGATTCTATGATCATATAGAATTTAGATAAGGTGAATAGCAAAGGTCTTTTCTCGAAGGTGGGGTAGTTCCAAACTAGGGACCATTTTTTAAAGGTGAGAGGAGAAAGATTTAAAAGGGACCTGAGGGACAACTTTTCTCACAGAGGGTGATTCAGATGTGGAATCAATTGCCAGAGGAAGTGGTAGATGCAAGTACAGTTACAACATTTAAAAGACATTTGGACAAGTATATGAATATGAATATGAAAGGTTTAGAGGGATATGGACCAAATGCAGGCAAGAGGGACTAATTTAGTTTGGGGAACTTGGCTGGCATGGACAAGTTAGTCCGAAAGGTCTGTTTCTGTGCTGTATGACTCTAACTTTATAACCTAAAGACTCAATAATGGATTGCATCATTTTCCTTCAAAATGGGGAGGAGTGAAATTATTGCACATAATTTCAGGAAAAGTCACTATTTGAAATGAATTAGCAACTGAGAAAATACACTACATAGTTAAATAGTGATGAATTATACAATCACATAGTACACAAATGAGACCTTTTCAATTGTACTTTCTTTTTGAGAAGATAAAAACTTGTTTTAAGAATGAACAATTCTTCGATGAAACATTGCAACTTTTCCTTCCTCTGAATATATCTATTCTCTGTACTCAAAATATCCCCTTAAATGGATGCCACTGCAGCTTTATTGAACATTCCCTTAATCAAATGTGCCAGTTCCCTTAAGGCAGTTTTGCTTTCATGCCCTCATAATTGCCCTTATTTAAGTTTAAAATATTCACACTGGATTCATTCCTCTCCCTCTCACATTGAAAGGGGTGTTCCCTATGAGATTAACTAATCCTCTCTCATTGTACAAAACCAGCATGAGTATATTCTGTTCTGTGGTCAGCTCCACTACGTTTTGTTCCAAGAAAACATTCTATGAACTCCTCTGCTTGGTTATTTTTGTCCATTTGTTTTTTTCCCGTCTATATGTAAATTAACTCCCCCCATGATTATCACCATACTTTTCTGACAAGCCCCCACTGTTTCATCCTTTATATTCCATCCTACAATGTAGTTACTCTACACAACTCCCACAAGTGAATTTTTGCCTGTAATTTCCTTCTCAACCTAAACCATATTCACTTCCTTGGTTCCTAAACTCAGGTCCTCCCGCTCTGTTGTGCCAGCATAAGTTATTTAACACAACCACTCCTCCATCTTTTCCTAGCTTCCTTTCCTTCCAAAAATCTTCTAAACTTCAATATTCAGATCCCAATCTCTGTAATGGCTATTAGATTATATTTAGTTATTTTGAGTTGCTTTTTCAGTTCATCAGTGGGCAAAAATTAATTTAGCTTTTATAGCAACTTCAAGCACTTTTAGCATCATGACTTTTAGCATTATGACTTTTTCGACTGTTTCAAATTCTTCATGTACTCCACAGTGTTAGAAACAGACAAACAATTCAACATACTTCTTCCTCTTGGTTTCTACTTGATATATGCTTGTACTCTTCTGTATCTTGTGTTGTTAAAGGCTTTTCTTTCTCATCTTGCTTCTCCACATCTTGCTTCTCCTTCTCGTCCTTCTCCTGTTGTTCCCGAGCTCGTCTCTCAGCTCGAGATCGACTGAATGTCTTTTCAGCTTCCTGCAGGTCTGTTAGTGTTACACCCTATTTTAACAAAGCAAATTATAGCATGTGCAATGTACACACAAAATTACAAATCATTCAAATTTGGTTTAAAAATCATGCATTAATGCAGTAAGACACTTCAGAATTTGGTTTCAAATCAATCGGAGTGCAATTCTCTTCTATTGTACTTTCCACCGCTATTGGTTGGCTGCAGTGACTTATTTTCTGAAAAGGTTTAGGCGAGCAGCTTTAATCTCATTTGGAAGGGCTACACAATGACTTCCATCTTGGTGAACATGGGAACCAGCGCAAAAAACTGCAACCAACCTGTAACCCACAGCTTTATATTTAAGCCCCAACAGCCTGTAAGGGATCAACATGATCTTTATTTCCAAGAAAGAACTAGTGTTCAGGGCTCAGAAATCTTTGAAACTCTCACGGCTGTGTTGAAATGATTACAGTAAATGACAATGCTGTAATTCACCAACTGTTACCTACTGGCAAAACCAGCTGCAGATATGTGATGGCCACTCTGTGGTGTGCTAAAGACACACTTTAGAATTCTGTATTGTCTAATTACTTGCTATAGATATTAAAAGAATGTTTAGTAAGCAATTAGTACTCCTGGACAAGAATATGAAGTGCTGTATACTGAAAACAGAATTTCTGAATTAAAGAGAATGAGGTGTTTAACATATGAGAGAAAGCTACATTTTCACTTGCTTTGCTGACATTCTTTAGATTCCTCATCTTTGATTAATAAAGATTGGATACATTGGGGTGTATGATTCTATAGCACTATTTGAAAAATTTTCCTGATGTTCCCACTACTGTCGAAGATAGACTACGGCATAACTTCTTATGGAATCTAGCTTGTATACCCTCAAGTTTGCTTTCATTTCAAAAGTGATGTTACGAACATCTAGCTCATGGTTCATGGGTTTCGGTATAATTCCTAAACACAAAATTTACTATGAAAATAGGAAAAAATGCAATTGGGACCTTCAAGTCTAGTGCACTTGGAAAAGTTAGGTTCACATTACTGCAAGAGGTTAACAGGAAGACAAGGTAATTAAAATGCTGGAATTCAGTATTAGTGGAACACCTAAAACAAAAATCAGATCAGAGCATTACCCAAATTTAAGAAAATTGAAATAGCAGAAACGTAGCTACTAAAATAGCAGGTGGCTTACTTAGCTGGATACTTAAGATCTACAAAACTTGAAGCAATGGCAGTCCAGAGGGAGTCAAAGCTGAAATAGGTTACAAGTATTCAGGAAACCCTGATTGTCAGGTTAAGGAGCCCAGGGTGAAGTACAATGTCATGCAAATTGGTGTTTTTTTTTTGTCTGGGTGTGTTTGCTGGGAGGTTTGGGGTGTACCTGAAGCTGGGAAAGTGCTGAAGTGTAGTGGCTTCAGGCAGCACAACTCCACTGAGAGTAGATTCCAGGCAGATAAGTCACTGAAAGATCCCTACAACTGAGAGGAAAGGCAAATCGAAGTAAAATGGTACTGAGCGAGAGAAAAAGAGCATCAAGTGAACCAAGTCAGGAAGGGGAAGGCTGAGCACCAGGACTCCTTTTTTCTACGAAGTGGGGTGTAAGAATAGTGTAGAAGGGGTTAGAAGAAGCAGGGAGGCTGACAGAGCTCTTAAGGAGTTCCAGGTTATTGGTTTGGAATTGGTGATGGAATTTTAATGTAGTTGCAAATTAGGACAGTGCAAAACCTGGAAGGGAACTGATAAGTGGCCTCGTGAGAAGGTGATTAATCCGTAGACAATTAATCCAAAACTCAGCTAATATTCTGGGAACCCAGGTTCAAATCCTGCTATGGTAAATGGTAGAATTTGAATTCAATAAATATCTGGCATATAAATATCTGGAATTAAGAGTTCAGTGATGACCATAAAACTACTGTTGATTGTTGGAAACACTCATCTGGTTCACTAATGTCCTTCAGAGAAGGAAAACTGCCATGCTTCCTGATCTAGCCTACACGTGACTCCAGGCTCACAGCAATGTGGGAGATTGTCAACTGCCCTCTGAAATGGTGTAGCAAGCCACTCAGCTGTGACAATTGCTATGAAGTCTCAAAAAAGAAATTAAACCAGACTGACCACCAGGCAGTGACACAGCACCGGAAATTACAATGGCAAAAACAGCTCTATCAACCCAGCAAACAAATCCGACAAATCCTTACTAACATCTTGGGGTTTGTCAAAATCGGGATGCTGCCTTACAGACTAGTCAAGCAATAGCCTGACATGGTCATATTTACACTCGTGGAATCATACCTAACAGACAATATTCCAGATATTGCCATCACCACCCCTGGATATGTCCAGTTCCGTTGGCAGGGAAGACCCAGCAGATGGCAGCATAGTGATAAACAGAGGATCAAAGTTGAGGACTTATGATCCTCAAACACCATGAAATCTGATGGTATTAGGTCAAACATGGGCAAGGAAACCTTCTGCTGATTACCATGTGTTATCCACCCTCAGCTGATGAATCAGTTGCTGATTCATTGATGCTGAATAACACTCAGTGGATGGAAAGGGTGCAGAATGGACTGTGAACAGGAGATTTTAATGTCTAATGACCAAGCTGGTCAAGTCCTAAAGGATACTGTGGCTAGACTGTGACAGGTGGTGAAGGAACCAAGAGGGGAAAAACATACTTGACTTCATCCTTCCCAATCTGCCTGCTGCAGATTCATCTGTCTGTGACAGTATTAGTAAGAGTGACCACCTCAGTCCTTGTGGAGAGTCCCACATTCACAAAAACAACACCTTACATCAGGTCATGAATCACGAGCACCATGCTAAATGGGACAGACTTTGAACAGATCTAGGAATGCAGGACTGCACATTCATGAGGCAGTGTGGGCAATCAGCAGCAGCAGAATCATACTCCACTACAATCTGTAACCTCATGGCCTGGCATATCCCTAGCTCAACCATTACGCCATGGGTTCAGTGAAGAGAGTGCAGGAGAACATGCCAGGAGTAGCACCAACCATACATAACGAGGTGTAAACCTGGTGAAGCTACAAAATAGGACTACATGCACTCCAACAGCATAAGCAGCAAGTAATAGACAGAGCTATGTGATACCATAATCAATAGAACAGATCTAAGCTCTACAGTCCTGCTGCATCCTATAATGATTAGTGGTGGATATAATTAAACAACTCATTGGAGGAAGCACCTCCACTAATATCTTCATCCTCAGTGATGGGAGAGCACAGCACATCAGCGCAAAAGATAATGCTAAAGAATTCGCAACAATCTTCAGCCAGAAGTGCAAAGTGGATGATCCATCTCGGTCTCTTCCAAAGGATCCCAGCATCTCAGGTGCCAAACGTCAGCCAACTTGATTCAGTCCATGTGAAATTAAGAAACCGTTGAAGGCACTGGATTCTGCAATGGCTAGGGCATTCTGGCATTAGTACTGATGACTTGTGCTTCCAAACTTGCTGCTCCCATAGACAAGTTGTTCCAGTACAGCTACAACACTGACAACTATCTAACAATACGGAAAATTCTCCAGGTACGTCCCACACACAAAGCAGAACAATCCACCATGTCAAATTACCACCTCATCGGTCTGCTCTTAATCATCAGGAAAGTGATGGAAAGCATCATCAACAGCATTATCAAGCAGCACTTGCTCACTGACACCCAGTTTGGGTTCCGCCACTGCTGCTCAGCTCCTGACCTCATTAACTTGGTTCAAACATGAAAAAAAAGCTCAATTCCAGAGGTGGGGTGAAAGCAACAGCCCTTAACGTTAAGGCCACATTTGGCCAAATGTGGCATCCAGGATTCATGATAAAACCGGAGTCAACGGGAATCAGAAGGAAAATGCTCGAATGGATGGAGTCATACTTGGCACATAGGAAGATAGTTATGGTTGCTGGAGGTCAGTCATCCCAGCTCCAAGACATCTCTGCAGGAGTTCCTCAGCACAGCACAGCGTCTGAGGCCCAGCCTTTTTCAGCTGCTTTGTCAATGGTATTTTCCATCTTAAGATCAGATGTGGGAATGTTGCACAATGTTCAACATCATTCATGATTTCTCAGATATTGAAGTATTCCATGTCTAAATGCAATAACTCCTGGACAATACTGGGGCTTGCTGACAAGTGGCTCAAGTAACATTCACACCACATAAATACCAGGCAATGACCATCTCCAATAACAGACAATCTAGCCATCGCCTGTCAACATTCAATGGTATCGCTGTCACTAAATTCCCCACTAACATCCTGGGGGTTACCACTGACCAGAAACTGAACTGGACCTGCCATACAAATAAAATGGCCACAACAGCAGGTCAGAAGACAGGAATACTGCAGCCAGTAACTCGCCTCCTAACTCTCCAAAGCCTGTCACCTATTCGGCACTAGTTAGGAATGTGATGGAATACTTCTCACTTGCCTGGATGAGTGCAGCTCCAACAACACTCAAAAAGCTTGATACCATCCAGGACAAAGCAGCCCACTTACCTGGCACTACATCCACAAACAAACATTCAGTCACTTTACCACCATTGCTCAGTAGCAGAAGCGTGTGTCATTTACAAGATGCATGCGGAAATTCACCAAGGCTCCATTAGATAGCACTTTCCAACCCATGCCCACTTCCATGTTGAGGGCAAGGGCAATATTACATGGGAAAACCATAACTTGCAAGTACCCCTCCATGCCACTCACAATCCTGACTTGGAAATACATTGCTGCTCTTTCAGTGTCATTGGGTCAAAATGCTAGAATTCCTTTCCCAATTGTCTACCTATAGTACTTGTACAGCAGTGGCTCAGGAAGGTAACACATGACTGGCTTCTCAAGGGCTACTAGAGATGGGCAACAGATGCTGATCCAGCCAGTAATACCCACATTGCATGAGTGAATAAACAAAAATGTAGTCGTGTCAGCAGCCCTCAATCTTCTAGGTTTGAAATGTGTGATCAATGTAACCTTGGCCACTCACTACTGTGCAGTTTCAAGATGGTACACATACTAATGTCACTGTATTCT